ATCAACAAGTACAAGTCTAGACTGGTGGCAAAAGGGTATGTACAACGTCATGGAATTGATTTTGATGAGGTCTTCGCTCCAGTTGCAAGAATTGAAACAATACGGCTCCTTGTTAACCTTGCTGCTGCTTATGGATGGGAAGTGCATCATCTGGATGTTAAAACTGCTTTCTTGCACGGAGAACTAAAGGAAACAGTATATGTTACACAACCAGAGGGTTTTGAAAGGAAGGGGGGAGAAAACAAGGTGTATAAACTACACAAAGCACTCTATGGACTAAGACAGGCGCCTAGATAATGGAACAACAAACTAAATCAGATTCTATGCGAGTTACAGTTTCAAAAATGTTCGAAGGAACCTTCTGTCTACCATAAGAGAGCTAATGGGGATCTGCTTGTGATTGTCGTGTACGTAGATGATCTGTTTGTATCAGGAACAAACATAAGAATGATAGAAGAATTCAAAAGCAACATGGCGAGTAAGTTCGACATGAGTGATTTAGGGAAGCTAACTTACTACCTTGGTATAGAAGTTCTGCAACATGAGGCTGGAATAACCCTTAACCAAAAGCGTTATGCAACAAAGATACTAGAAGAAGATGGGATGGACAAATGTAATCCTTGTCAAACACCGATGGAACTTGGGTTGAAGCTATCAAAAGCAGAGAGTGAAAAGGAGATAGATGCAACAAGATACAGAAAGAATGTTGGATGCTTACGTTACTTCCTTCACACAAGACCAGACTTATCTTTCTGTGTAGGAGTACTAAGCAGGTATATGCAGATCCCCAGAGAGTCACATGGAACAGCTATAAAACAAGCTTTGCGATACTTACGTGGAAGTCTCGACTATGGATTATCGTGTGAGCGGTCAACAACTAGAGTCCCACGACTTATTGGGTATAGTGATAGCTCTCACAATGAAGATCCAGACGATGGAAGAAGCACAACCGGCCATATATTCTACCTTGGAGAAAGTCCCATATCTTGGTGCTCACAAAAACAGGATATTGTGGCTTTGTAATCATGTGAGGCTGAGTTTATGGCTGGAACAGAAGCGGCAAGACAAGCAATATGGTTACAAGAATTGTTGAGTGAGGTAACAGGGGAGCCGCGTGAGTAGTGATCTGCATCGACAATCAATCAGCAATTGCATTAACAAGAAACCCAGTCTTTCACGAAAGAAGTAAGCATATACACAAAAGATACCATTTCATTAGAGTATGTTGAGAATGGACAAGTAGAAGTAGAACATGTGCCCGAAGACAAGCAAAAGGCTGATATCTTGACAAAGGCTTTGGGAAGGATCATATTCAAGGAAATGAGAGATTACATTGGCATGGTAGAGTTGACATCAAAGGGTTTTAAGTTTAAAGGGGAGAATGTTGGATTAAGCTTGAAATAGCTTGAGCAACAAGCAACCTAATCCTAATGTGTTATAATTATCTATAAGGTGTTGTGTTTATCTTATAGGATTAGGAAATATATGGTTAAGTTAATCCTAGTGAGTCTAGGATAATTATAGCGATATATAAGGAGATGTTGGGGTGTGACATCCCATAAGTTAGATTTGAGTGTTTAAGGTTTTGAGAGAGTTTTTCCTTAAAGAGATTAATAACAAGTGAGTTCTTGTTTGTGTTCTTGAGATTCTTATATTCGAGTTTGAGTTTCTGAGATTTGATTTATATAGTTTATTGTTTCATATTCAAACCAGTTATCAAATTAGACTTCTTCAATGCTCAAATAGCATGGCTATTTCGATGTCAAACATATTCCAATTTCCAAGTTCCAACTTCCACAATTTTGTACCAAATGGACTTAAAACTGGTTTTATTTGAAAGTGGATTAGTAGGTGGGCGTATTAATTTGTTTTCAGTTTCACATGTACACTATTTGAAAGTGAACTCTTAGAGCAACTAGTTGCATACTCCCCGCGCAAGCGCGGAGCCGGAATCATTATGTTTGCATATATTTTTTCGATTTAGTGGTTTAGTGGATTCTTCTAATGACACCAAATATTGATGAAATGGAAAGAATGTAGTAAGAGTGTAAAGTGAAAATATTGTATATCTAATGTGTAAAATGTTATTTATATGCGAAGTAAGGTTTATAGGAATAGTTAGGTTATAATATAGTTTTAGTATGTATAAGTAGGTGTCTATTTTTTTTTTTTTTTTTGCTGTAAATAGTTTTTATATCGTATGTCAAAACTTGATATAATTCTATATTTATAGTATTTATATTTGTATTAAACGATTTATCAATTTAAAAATAACCTTAATTAAGTTAATATTCGTTGTTTAAGTTTCATTAGATAGTTTTTTATATATGGTTTTTTGTAAGTTTGGATTTTGTTCATAAATGATGGGGCATTTTTATCTATGGCGTCATCGAGGAATCCATTCGCCGAAGTCAGAGTCGGTGGTGAGGAATGTTTTCAATGAAATTATAGTAGTTATTAAAATGTAAGAGAAATTACATATTCATTTAATATATAACGAAAATACTTAAATTTTGTTGTTTATTTTATTTTATTTTATTTCACATACAAATTTTTTGAAAATATATTAGGAATGAGTTAAATGTTATTTATATGCGAAGTAAGTTTATAGGAATAGTTAGGCTATAATATAGTTTTTAGTGTGTAAAAGTAGGTGTTTTGTTTTTGCTGTAAATAGTTTTTATATCGTAGGTCAAAATTTGATATAATTCTATATTTATAGTATTTATATTTGTATTAAACGATTTATCAATTTAAAAATAAACTTAATTAAGTTAACATTCGTTGTTTAAGTTTCATTAGATAGGTTTTTATATATGTTTTTTTGTAATTTTGAGTTTTGTTCATAAATGATGTGGCATTTTTATTTACGGCGTCATCGACTGTGGGAATCCATTCGCCGGAGTCTGAAATCGGTGGTGAGGAATGTTTTCAATGAAATTATAGTAGTTATTAAAATGTAAGAGAAATTACATATTCATTAAATAAATAACGAAAATAATTAATTTTTGTTCTTTTTTTATTTTATCTCACATACAATTTTTTGAAAATATATATTAGGAAATATGTGCAATGATTTTACTTTTTGAGCTCTTAATCTATATTATTCAAGTCTCATTAAGCCATCCACGTAGGTAGCCGCGTGGGATTCACTTTTTTTTTTTTAATTTGGTCGGTTCGTGTTTGGATTCATTTTTTATTATTTTTGGGTTAAACTATATTATAATAGGATAGTTTTAAGGCTCTTTAAGCTATCCGCGTAGGCAACCGCGTGAGACTTGCTTTTTTTTTGTTTTTTTATTGTTCGTTTTTGCATCCTTTTTTAACTATTTTTAGTTTGAACTCGTTAAGCTTTAGGGTTTATCCAACTACTTTGATCTTTAAAACAATAAGTCATAAAAAAAACATAAAAACCTCACAAAAAAAAGCCCATATGATAATAACCCAAATAAAAAAATCAAAAATAAATGATGGCTGTGTGGTTTGAACCCATGATCTTGCATACTTAATTAGACACCTTATACCACTTGGCTAAAGTGTATTTCATTGTTTGTAATCATCTTACCAAGACTATAAGTTTTAAAAAAATACCTATGGAACCCACAAAACTGCTGACGTGGCGCGTTGTGGAGCCTAGAAAGTGTACTATTATAATATAGATTCCATCTATAGTATAAGTTCTCAAAATAATCAGTAGCAAATTAATGTTAAATTGTTGAATAAGGTTTTTCATCACTTTTTTTTAGAATCACATCCTTGTCCATGGAGGAGAATGTTCTTAGTGAGTGTCATATACGATTGTCAAAACCATGTTTTTATAGAATTGCCATTTAATCACTAAAACAAAAAAAAAAACAAAACAAAAAAAAACAAATTGTCCCTCGTGTACTATAATCATATATATCATGAGAGATTATCCTGAAAAGTTAAAAGCATTGTCTTGCGTTAAAAAAAAGGTGTCAAACTATGAAGGCAAATAGTATTGGGTAATTCGCTTAAATAGTTTTAAAAAAAAAAAAAAATTTGGTCACAAAATAATCTTCAAAAAGAAAACGATTAAAATAGTTTCTTTTTATTTTGAAATTTATAATATTTAATTTTTTATTTTTTTTAAACTCGAAACCTTAAACTCAAACTCCACCTCCTAACTCTAAATCCTAAATCAGGATTAGTTAATCCGAGGATATAATTACGTATTTACATTTTAATAAAAATTTGTTTAGTCATTTTTCGTTTGAAAGACAATTTTTGTGAAAATAAACTAAAATGGTTATCCAAGAAAATTTCTTAATAGTATATGTAAATTTTTTAATAGAATAAATAATCAATAAGATAAAATAAATAATAAATGAAAATAAAATCTTTTTCATATTTCTTGTTCATCAAAATTGCAGTGAACCATCTTGGATTTTTTTATTATTTAATACTGAAAGATGCTATTTCTTCCTTGAATTAATGTAATAAACTTTTTTTTTTACATAATTTTCTTCAATACAATGAAGATTTCATCTATTCCATTTAATACTATAATCATTTCAGTAATCCCTTCTAATTTTTGTTACACTAGCAACTGAACATTTTTTTCGTTAAAATTTGTCAAAAGACCTTTGTGATTTTGTATTAAGATATTTTCCTTATTAGAGTTATTTACTACTAATTTCGATAATATCAAGATGTGTAACACCATTGTAACGCTTCATTTGTGTTGTCCTTTCGTTAAGTACACTAGCAGAAAATTTCACCAGGCAACACAGAAATTAAAATCATTAGTGTCACACCAACGTAACCCACGCTCACATGGCTGTCGTAGGAGTCACGTTTCCACCGCTGTCGTTTTAGCAAACCACCGGCATTCAACGCCTTCTCTTCCGTTATTTATATTTTTAAAATCTTCAACTTCATTTTTAATTTTTATTTTCCGATAAAATTAATTTTCAATCATCGCCTTGTTTTTTTTTTGCTGTTGATCTCTCTAAAGCTTACTATTCATTCAACTTCGTCTCCTCACCGTCCGATGCTTTGACCTTTTAAGCCGATCATAACTACTTTGACTTCAACGTTCCGGCGACCATGGGTCACTGTTACAGCCGGAACATTTCCACCGTCGAAGATAACGACGGCGACATCCCCGCCGGAGCCGCACACCTTCCGCATCACACTGATAACAACCACCGGACTTCAATTCCCAATTCTCCGGCTGCATCCTCCTCTTCCGATGTCAACCCTTACACCATCAGCCCCTTTCAAAGCCCGTTACCGGCGGGAGTAGCTCCGTCTCCGGCGAGAACTCCGGGGAAAAAGTTCAAATGGCCGTTCCCGCCTCCTTCACCTGCAAAACCGATCATGGCGGCTCTGAGACGGCGAAGAGGCACGGCTCCGCAGCCTCGCGACGGTCCGATCCCTGAGGAGAGTGAGGAAGTCGATGATCACCACGGAAGAGGCGGCGGAAGCAGAGGCGGAGATAGGTTAGATAAGAACTTCGGGTTCTCGAAGAACTTTGAAGGGAAGTATGAGCTGGGGAAAGAAGTTGGTCGAGGGCATTTTGGTCATACTTGTTGGGCTAAAGCCAAGAAAGGCAAGATAAAAGGGCAAACCGTAGCTGTCAAGATCATTTCTAAAGCCAAGGTTTGTCTCTCTATGTGTGTGAAATTTTGACAATGTTGGAACATGTAATGATCAGAGATATGTTCTTTTTATGTATATGGATGATAAAGTGGGGTTTTGTTGTGTTTCAGATGAAATCAACTCTATCCATAGAAGATGTTCGTCGAGAGGTGAAACTGCTGAAAGCTCTGTCTGGACATAGGCATATGGTTAAGTTCTACGATGTGTTTGAGGACGCTGACAATGTCTTTGTTGTTATGGAGTAAGTATATCTCTTGTTATGTTTTTATGCATCAAAATGTGTTTGGATTAAAATGATTCTTTACGTTATATAACCTTATAGGACAACATTTAGATTTTTTCTCTAATGATGGCTGCTTTTGTGGCTTTAAGTTTCATCATACATTAAATCATCTATAATGTATTTTGCTATTTTTTCCTCCAACATAGAGGTGAGGTGAAATTCACTTGCCTCTAAGATAGCATTTCTTTAATTATTTTTTCGGTCTATTCCTCTAAATATGGAGGAATGCTATTTTTTCCTTATAATATAGATGAAAAATAACAATGGTAAGAAATAAAGTTGTTTTGGAGAAAAATGTTCTCTACAATAGCATTTAGAGGTACATATAGAGGTGTGTTGAAGATGTTTTAGCAGTTTTTTTCTACAGCAATGAACATTAGAGTTCTTATTTTGATATATTAGTACCAATGGTTTGCAGAAATGATTTTGATATTTTACCCTGTAATATGAGTTTAGGTTATGTGAAGGTGGAGAGCTTTTGGATAGAATTTTGGCGAGGTAAACAAAACTATTCCACCTTGTATGCTTTGTATTGCGTATAAATGTATAAACTTGTACTGTATACATCTTTACTGCAGAGGTGGTCGATATCCAGAAGCAGATGCGAAGCGTATCCTTGTTCAGATTCTATCTGCTACTGCTTTTTTCCATCTTCAAGGTGTAGTGCACCGTGACCTGAAGCCAGAGGTACGCTTTCTAGTAGAATATGAATATCACAAGTCTCTGTTGCTTGTTTCTTAAACAAACCCTCTACTCTTTCTATCCAGAACTTTCTTTTTACCAGCAAAAATGAGGATGCAGTACTCAAGGTCATAGACTTTGGTTTATCTGACTTCTCCAGATTCGGTAATGATCCTTATCTTTGGTTCTAAAATTTTATTTAGGAAACTGAATGGTGTGTTTGTGTTTGATGTTTTAATTAATCAGATCAGCGTCTAAACGATGTGGTAGGAAGTGCATTCTATGTTGCACCTGAGGTACTCCACCGAAATTACAGCACTGAAGCAGATATATGGAGCATCGGTGTCATATCTTACATATTACTCTGTGGGAGTAGACCCTTTCACGGACGAACCGAGTCTGCTATTTTCCGCTGTGTGCTTAGAGCGAACCCTAACTTTGAAGATTTGCCATGGCCTTCCATATCGCCTATTGCTAAAGACTTTGTGAAAAGGCTTCTGAACAAAGACCATAGGAAAAGAATGACAGCTGCTCAAGCTTTAGGTAAGTTTTTGTTTTGTTTTTGTTTTTTTTTTGTTTAAGGTAAGTTCTTTAGCTAGTAGTCATTAAGACATTGATAGGCGAAAATGAAAAACAAGAGTATGGTTAAAATATTTGGCAGCTCATCCGTGGCTTCGAGATGAAAACCCTGGTTTGCTTCTTGATTTCTCCATCTACAAATTGGTGAGGTCTTACATCCGTGCTTCGCCTTTCAAAAGAGCAGCACTTAAGGTAACTGTCTGTCTGTCAGATCTTGTCAAGAGCACTAATATACTTGTTTCTTGTGTATAACTTTATTTTGATGTCACTTGTACCACAGTCTCTATCCAAAGCTATACCAGAAGAGGAACTCGTGTTCCTTAAAGCACAGTTCATGCTCCTGGAACCAGAGGATGGAGCCTTGTATCTTCACAATTTCACTAAGGTCAGTGTGTGATTTCTACACTAATCTTTCCTGGTTTAACCATAGCCTTTGATACAACTCTTCTTCAAACTGATTAGTAATTCAAATTCTGACAGGCATTGACAAGATATGCTACAGATGCTATGATCGAATCTAGGCTTCCTGACATTTTAAACTTGGTAAGCACGTATTAACACATTGATCTTTTGAGTCTCAGCATTGTCTACTCTCTGCATAACTTTATCTTTAATACTCCTTTTTCCTCCCTTTTTGTTGGTTAAAGATGCAACCCTTAGCACGTAGGAAACTTGATTTTGAAGAGTTCTGTGCGGCTGCTGTTAGCGTTTATCAACTAGAGGCTCTTGAAGAATGGGAACAGATCGCAACTATAGCGTTTGACGACTTCGAACGTGAAGGAAGCCGAGCCATATCTGTCCAAGAACTAGCAGAGGTATCTAGAGACTTGAATACATCTCTGAGATCTGTAAACCACGATGTTTTGCATGAATCTTGAGTTTACGATTTTACGCATATGCAGGAGATGAGTTTGGGACCAAATGCGCATCCTTTGCTCAAGGATTGGATCCGGAGTTCGGATGGAAAGCTGAGCTTCTTGGGATATGCCAAGTTTTTGCATGGTGTGACTGTCCGAAGCTCGAGTTCGAGACCTACTAGGTGACTTCTAACTTTGCAAAAATCAAACCTAATCATATTGTCGTTTCAAGACAAATCACACCATGAATTGGAAAGAAAGCTACCTGGATCTTTTGTATTGATCATTTTGTTTTCATGAGGAAAATTCTAAAATCAAAAACCAAACAAACAAAAGAAGCAAGGGCAAGAAGCAATGTATTTTCTTGTAATTTTCTTTCTATTTAATTTCCGGATTGTATAGAAGAACCATGGATGGGTTGTTGTTGTTCGGTTCAGGTTTTGTTCCTTGGTAATGGAGGTGTAATAAATCAGCGGTTTAACTTTTATGCTATACACACATTGTAAACTTAACTAATATCACTATTCTTGACCCCCGAAAACACAGACAATATCCTCCTATCAGTGTATATAATGCTCTATACTAATCTTCTTCTTTTTTTTGTCAACTTGCTCTATACTAATCTAAACAGCAAATTAGTCAATATATTAGATCCTGATTGAATCTCCAGGCTAAAGCCACCCTGAGATCCTGATCTCAGATTCACTGTATTAATTGTATTTTATCTTGTAATCGTTCATTTTTTTTAATCGTTTGTCTTAATTATCAATTGAAAAGTTTCTGGTTAACTTACAATGATATTAATCCCCTATATATTAAAAGATAATCATTTAAAAAGGGTATAACCATAAGTTTGTAATAATTAAAAATAACCTCAATCCTATGTGACATAGCTCTTTGTCTTCTATTTCAGTTTAGAAGGATTCTAGAACATGTCATATAATGTATAGTCTAAAAATTATATTCTCTATCAATATAATACTTCATAGGTTATAGTTGGTCGTATATATCAAATATTTATTGTTTCACAGGCTTTCCTTAAATAAAACATACGGAATTACCTAATGTGATTAAAATATATATATGACAATTAATGATTTTAAACAATAAATATTTAATAACAATCGAAATACTTTTTATCATTTTGTTAATTTCTTTATTATTAAAATAAATTACACAATTACATTAATCATATAATAAAAATCTAGATTTTTTGTGTATGTTGTATTTCGAATTTTTCAAAATGAGTATAAATTACTAAAACTATTAAAAGTCTCATATAAACTTTTAGGATCAAGGTTTTATTTTTTTCTATATTAAAATATATTGATTATAAGACCATATGAAGAAATAATTTTAGTTTATATGTATTTAATATCGTTTATATTAAACTATACATCGTATGAAAATACATACTTATATTTTGATATTTGCATTGAACATATATTGAAAAGTTAATATTTTAAATTTGAAATATGTCATTGTTTTTTTTAAACGATTATAGATTATTGAAACTACTAAACATCTCACATTAAAAAAATTCGTTGGTGTAAAATTTTGCTACACAAATATGCAAATAAGCATAAAATCATATGAGTAGAAACCTCATTTAATAAATATCCATATTAAAAGTGTGCGATATTACTATGTTTATATCATTTAAATTTAATTATACTCCCTCTGTTCCTAAAAGATCCATATTCTAGTTTTTTCACACTTTTTAATAAAACACAATAAATTTGCATAGTTTTTTGTATTTATCTTCTTTCCATAGTTTTAAACCAATGAAAAATCAATTAGTGCAATTAATTTTTTTGAAGTTTACAATTAGTTAATAAAACATGCATTGAAAATGTAAAAAATGGATCTTTTAGAAACAAATTTTTTCTCTAGAATATGTATCTTTAAGGAACGGAGGGAGTATATCATATACAATATATAAGATTGATTATTTTTATTTATTTCCCCTAATTGTGAATAAACAAGAGTGATAGTGAAATTTATATGGATACACCAATTTATTACATAATAGTAACTAATTTCTTAGTTATTTAATATATATATTTATTATTTTATAATATGCAGAAAAATATAAAATAAATAATAAATATAAAATATTTATTGTGCATAAAGTGCATATCTTAACCTTAGTATGTATCTCTTTAATTATTTTAAATCTTAAGCATTTTCTAAATCTCTGGTCAAAACAAACAAACGAAATAAGAATAAACTTCAAAATCAATATTTATATAGAGTAATAACCAAAATAAAAAAGAAAAACACAACAAGAGAAAAAAATTGAAGATAAATAGGATTGACACGTGAATATAAACTTCTCATAACCATAATTAATTTTTAAATTGTTAAATCATGATATAAAACTGAGTTAATTTTTAATTTGTTAATTTAAAAAAAAAATTTTAAATCATTATGGTTATGTTAAATCATGACCATAATTAATTTTAAATTATTTATTTGTATTTGAAAAACTTAAAATATTTTTTAAAAAAATAATTTAAAACTTAACTTAATTTTTTATAAAATTATTTTAAAATAATAATAATTTGTAAAAAATAGAATTTTCTAATATTATTAGACAAATAAATAAATTATATTAAATTAGTTTTGAAACTTTATATATTTTAAAAGCAAATATTTTTACCTACTGCTTCTTAAGAAAGCATTAGGGAACTTGCTAATACTCTACCAATCAAGCCCAGTGACACTCCGTTTATATCCATCACTCAAACACTGAAAAGTGAAAAAATATATGATATCGGGTCCATTAAGTTCTAAGCTTTGATATACAATTCTAATTACAGTGTTTCTCATCCTACGTATATATAATTATATAAAAATTCCAAAATTCTAAAATTTCAAATACATATAAAACACTCATATGTAAATTTTAAATTTGTCAATACTAAAATTTTATAATTTAATTATATACATTCATCCTACGCAAGGCGCAGATCTTATCCTAGTTATAAATATAGTGCAAACAAAACAGAATTCTGGTTGCTGATTTGAAAAGCTTTTTTGGAGCTATGCTCCTTGACCAGACGATCTAAGAAAAAAAAGGAAACTCATACCTTGAACTATAACTAGAACTAGTCGCAACTTACTACAACATGGTGACTATGTAAATCTCCTAATTAAGATGATTAATAACTGAACACGACTTTAAAATTGACTTAAAAAGGGTTCATATGCAAGGATTTCAATAACAAGCCTGCAAATTTTAGCAAAAAAAAAAAAAACAAGCCTGTTAATCTAAATGAACCTTCCGATGTCCTATAATCTATCTATATAAATAAAGTAGAGATATATCTTCTCAGACTGTCCATGTCATTTCTTTAGATGGGGGGTTTTCTCGCCATGTGTCGTGATATGGTTGGTGTTGTATCACTCATTTAATGTTATCTGTCTCGGTGATTTTTATTGAATGGACCATGTTTTAGTTTAAAAATTAGGTAATAACTCGTGCCTTGTGCGGAATGAGAGTATTACGTTTGTTATTTTTAAGATAAAATGATATTATGTATGTTTAGCATGAACATTGGTTTAGTTTTACATTATTTTTTTAATCTTCTTAAATATAACTATCATTTTAAATCTATATTTATTTTGGTTTGTTTGGTTTAAATTTTTGATGCTTTTGATTTTTTCAATGATAACCAAAAACTATTGTTATGGGTTTGGTTTCGTTTTATATAAATTTTAGATATTTTTTGATGTCAAACTAATAGTTTCCTACTATAATTTCTAAAGACATGTAAAATCAAATAAAATCTAAATAATATTTGAAAAAAAATATTAACATAAAACATTTCACTACAATTTGAGTGATAGTGAAAAAAACATTAAAATATAACTTCAATAAGAATTAAAATTCTCACTTGTGGTGAATACTTAGTTATATAGTCGTTCATGTCAATGTGTACATGTATGTATATGTAAAAGTATATAAATGTGATAATAAATATATGAATATACCGTTAACTAAGATTTAAAACAGTTTTGTTCAAAATAACACATGATAGTAAATTCTTAAATAAAATTAAGTAAAAATAAAAGAAACCTAGAAATTAATAACATTTTTTCATATGAAGAAAATCAAATTATATCCGTAAAAGTTAAAAATAATATATATTATAAAGTGACATCTTCACTTGGTACCTGAATTCTGTTTTAATCGATTTTGCGATTTTTATTTATTTTTAAATCTTTTCTGATTTCTGATTTTTTTCTACCAATTTGATTTTGTTTCTAATTTTTGGTCTGATAAGCAAACTTTATAAAATGTTAATATTTGACTAAACTAAAGATCCGATTTTACATGTGGTGATTTTCACCTTAGCTTCTTTTATTCATAATCAATCACATTATTTGTTGTTATTGTGTACCGAAGCCTCAACCATGATCAACTTCGGCAAGGTACGAAACTTTCAATTTCTACAAACACTTTCATAGTAATTTTAATTGATGCGAATATTAATAATTTTTTAATTTTTTTATAATAAAGATATTATTCATTAGTTTCACGTAGAAAATTTTAATTTATGAACACATTTATTACCAAATGATTGTGAGATCGATACGTGTCAATTATGGTGTGAACGCATTTATTACAATGTTGATCTCTTAAAGGGATATACTGGGCATTTATACTATTTTACAAAGAGGTTCAGATGTTAATATAGTTTCTTCTTCTCGATGTTGAAGTTGGAGACCAGAAGCGACATGTCTTTTATGATGATTTATGTTTCAAAGCCATGGTTGGAAGATCTACAGAGATTGTTTACTTATTTATCTCTGGGTTATGTTTGGTTTCAATTCTTTTAAGACAATGAGCTCGATGCGATTTTGGATTTAATGGACAAACCATTGACAGATACGGTGGACAGGAGGATGGAATCGGTTTTTTGGTTTCATGGAAATCTGACCGAAGATGCGTTATATTGAATCAATGATATTGTTTCCTTCATTGATGCCTCAGCTGAATCCAAGTCGTGTCTTTTGTTCTTATTCCCTTATATATGCCTCAGTTTTCTTGCTTCTCACCGAATATATAAATATAGATCTTATTGTCTCATCGATTGTTTGCAAATTTTTAGTTTTATTTTTTCTGGGTTTTAAATCACTGATTTTCTGTATGCAGCAAAAGAGCTTTGGAAATTGTATGAGAGTAACGAAGGTAGCAGTAACTGGTGTGATGGGTTAGCACTTAGCACTATCTGAGCTTCAAATGCCTCTGGAGTTTTTCAAAGCTGTGAGTGTTAGAGGAATTCAGAAAATCATTCCTATTTCATCTACGCTCTTCTTTCTCGAATGGGGTCTGATTAAAAGTTATCTGCCATATATTTTAACTCAGTATTGATGTTGATTGTTTGTGTATAAAGTTGTGCTTGAGCCAGGATGCAAGGTCGTGCTAGGAAATAAACTAGAAAGATGCTTGCTTTTGGGATTCCCGTCACTGACAAAATCATCAAATTCAACTCTAAACACAGGCTTGTTAATCCAATGATT